ATATGAATACCTCTGATGATATTGCTAAATAAGACTAATACCCCCACCGCCCAGTGAGTGGAGTAAAACAAAAATGCTCAACTATATAACATTGTATTGCAATATTGTATGAATGAACCATATAACATGTCCTTGTTTGTCTCTCTGAAAAAATTCAATAAAAATATTGAAACATAAAATGTATTCTTCAGATTTTTTTTAACATATAAAAAAAGTCATTTTAACATATATATTTTTACATATATTTGTAAATGCATTCAAAAAATGTAGATTTATGAAGACATACAGTATATTTGAAAAGCTATTTTTAAAAGTATTTTTCATATATTTTGTAATAAAAATGCATTTCAACATGCATATATATATATATATATATATATATATATATATATATATATATATATATATTTCTTGAAATATATTTTTAAATGTATTGAATATGGCTAAAATTGTAGCATTTCAAATATATGTCAATATATTTGGGAAGAATATTTTTAAAATATATTTCAAATATATTTTTCTTCCATGTGGGTTATATCTAGAGATGAGCGAGTCGAAGTAGGCGAAGTGGAATTCGTTTCGAATATTAGGAAAATTTTTCCTAAAATGGCGGCGACATGTGCGGCGACGGAGCGGGGATGTCTGGGAAGGCGCGCAGACAAGGCGCGCTGACCCATAATGCATTCATTCATGACATGTGATCGCATTAGCCAATCAGCAGCCAGCCAGCACAGTGTAATGGTCGAAATATAAAAGGCGGCCATTTTAGAATTCTCCATTTGCCTCCAGTCATTCAACAGAGGCAGACCTGGCTGTATTCAGGGAGAGAGGGGAGAGTTAGGGGACGTTAGTTAGGGCCACAGAATCGTTACTTAGGGCCACAGAAACGTTACTTAGGGCAACAGAAACGTTAGGGCCACAGAATCGTTACTTAGGGCCACAGAAACGTTACTTAGGGCTACAGAAACGTTACTTAGGGCCACAGAACCGTTACTTAGGGCCACAGAAACGTTACTTAGGGCCACAGAAACGTTACTTAGGGCCACAGAATCGTTACTTAGGGCCACAGAAACGTTACTTAGGGCCACAGAAACGTTACTTAGGGACACAGAATTGTTACTCAGGGACAGACACAGAATTCTTACTCAGGGACAGACACAGAATTCTTACTCAGGGGACAGAATTGACACAGAATTCTTACTCAGGGACACAGAATTGTTACTGAGGGACACAGAATTGTTACTCAGGGACACAGAATTGTTACTCAGGGACAGACACAGAATTGTTACTGAGGGACACAGAATTGTTACTGAGGGCCACAGAACTGTTACTTAGGGCCACAGAACTGTTACTTAGGGCCACAGAAACGTTACTCAGGGACACAGAATTGTTACTCAGAGACAGACACAGAATTGTTACTCAGGGACAGACACAAAATTGTTACTGAGGGACACAGAATTGTTACTGAGGGACACAGAATTGTTACTGAGGGACACAGACTGAGGGCCACAGAACTGTTACTTAGGGCCACAGAAACGTTACTCAGGGACACAGAATTGTTACTCAGGGACAGACACAGAATTGTTACTCAGGGACACAGAATCGTTTAATTAAAGAGTATGTCAGACAACATGCAGAGGAGTGGCAGAGGAGGCAATGTTTTAGGAGCGAGCAGACGTGGCAGCAGAGGAAGGGGTCGAGGCAGCACTATTCGCAGCCAGAGGCCAGTGCTCCCGGTGTCATCCAGTACAGTGAGGAAGAGCTAACAGAGGGCGGTCAGGAACGGGGGGAGACATCCGCCTCTTCAGCAGCCAGGCGAAGAAGTAGTGGCGAGGAGAGTGACTCGGTAGCCGGTCTAGAGACAGGTCTGTCTCCTGACCCACACGCAGCCGAGGGGGCTAGTAGTGAGGCGGAGACCCTAATTGATGATGATGAGGCTGATCGCACTTGGCAGCCTCGTCGTCATCAGGCTATATTGCTTCCGCATCATCAGGGTGTGATCATCCATCTTCTTGAGTTAGAGGGTGGCAGCTTGGCAGTGAGCAAAACAGTCGGTGGGTTGTCTCCATCGCCACACTCTGCCATGTGCCACTTTCAGGTCTCCTCACACACTGCTGGTGTGTTCCATTTTTTGTCATAGGGTGCTGGCAGATTACGGGCCTCCCATAGCTGCTGCCAGGCCCCTAATCTGCCATGGGCCCCTGTACCGCCTCCTCATGCTGCTGCCAGGTCCACAGTGTCTCATGCCATGTGCCACTTTCAGGTCTCCTCACACTGCTGGTGTGTTCCATTTTTTGTCATAGGGTGCTGGCAGATTACGGGCCTCCCATTGCTGCTGCCAGGCCCCTAATCTGCCATGGGCCCCTGTACCGCCTCCTCATGCTGCTGCTGCCAGGTCCACAGTGTCTCATGCCATGTGCCACTTTCAGGTCTCCTCACACTGCTGGTGTGTTCAATTTTTTGTCATAGGGTGCTGGCAGATTACGGGCCTCCCATAGCTGCTGCCAGGCCCCTCTGCCATGGCCCCTATGCCATGGGCCCCTGTACCGTCCCTCCTCATGCTGCTGCTGTCAGGTCCACATGTGTCTCATGCCATGTGCCACTTTCAGGTCTCCTCACACACTGCTGGTGTGTTCAATTTTTTGTCATAGGGTGCTGGCAGATTACGGGCCTCCCATAGCTGCTGCCAGGCCCCTAATCTGCCATGGGCCCCTATACCGCCTCCTCATGCTGCTGCCAAGGTCCAGAGTCTCTCATGGGTCCCTGTACGGCCTCCCATTGCTGCTGTCTCCATCGCCACACTCTGCCATGTGCCACTTTCAGGTCTCCTCACACACTGCTGGTGTGTTCCATTTTTTTGTCATAGGGTGCTGGCAGATTACGGGCCTCCCATAGCTGCTGCCAGGCCCTAATCTGCCATGGGCCCCTATACCGCCTCCTCATGCTGCTGCCAGGTCCAGAGTGTCTCATGGGTCCCTGTACGGCCTCCCATTGCTGCTGTCTCCATCGCCACACACTCTGCCATGTGCCACTTTCAGGTCTCCTCACACACTGCTGGTGTGTTCCATTTTTTGTCATAGGGTGCTGGCAGATTACGGGCCTCCCATAGCTGCTGCCAGGCCCCTAATCTGCCATGGGCCCCTATACCGCCTCCTCATGCTGCTGCCAGGTCCAGAGTCTCTCATGGGTCCCTGTACGGCCTCCCATTGCTGCTGTCTCCATCGCCACACTCTGCCATGTGCCACTTTCAGGTCTCCTCACACTGCTGGTGTGTTCCATTTTTTGTCATAGGGTGCTGGCAGATTACGGGCCTCCCATAGCTGCTGCCAGGCCCCTAATCTGCCATGGGCCCCTATACCGCCTCCTCATGCTGCTGCCAGGTCCAGAGTCTCTCATGGGTCCCTGTACGGCCTCCCATTGCTGCTGTCTCCATCGCCACACACTCTGCCATGTGCCACTTTCAGGTCTCCTCACACACTGCTGGTGTGTTCCATTTTTTGTCATATAGGGTGCTGGCAGATTACGGGCCTCCCATAGCTGCTGCCAGGCCCCTAATCTGCCATGGGCCCCTGTACCGCCTCCTCATGCTGCTGCCAGGTCCACAGCCTCCCATCATGCTGCTGCTGTCTCATGCCATGTGCCACTTTCAGGTCTCCTCACACTGCTGGTGTGTTCCATTTTTTGTCATAGGGTGCTGGCAGATTACGGGCCTCCCATAGCTGCTGCTGCCAGGCCCCTAATCTGCCATGGCCCCCCCTCCTCATGCTGCTGCCTCCTCATGCTGCTCATGGGTCCCTGGTACGGCCTCCCATTGTCTCCATGCACACTCTGTGCCACTTTCAGGTCTCCTCACACACTGCTGCTGGTGTGTTCAATTTTTTGTCATAGGGTGCTGGCAGATTACGGGCCTCCCATAGCTGCTGCCAGGCCCCTAATCTGCCATGGGCCCCTGTACCGCCTCCTCATGCTGCTGCCAGGTCCAGAGTGTCTCATGGGTCCCTGTCATGTACGGCCTCCCATTGCTGCTGTCTCCATCGCCACACTCTGCCATGTGCCACTTTCAGGTCTCCTCACACTGCTGGTGTGTTCCATTTTTTGTCATAGGGTGCTGGCAGATTACGGGCCTCCCATAGCTGCTGCCAGGCCCCTAATCTGCCATGGGCCCCTATACCGCCTCCTCATGCTGCTGCCAGGTCCAGAGTCTCTCATGGGTCCCTGTACGGCCTCCCATTGCTGCTGTCTCCATCGCCACACTCTGCCATGTGCCACTTTCAGGTCTCCTCACACACTGCTGGTGTGTTCCATTTTTTTTGTCATAGGGTGCTGGCAGATTACGGGCCTCCCATAGCTGCTGCCAGGCCCCTAATCTGCCATGGGCCCCCTATGTACCGCCTCCTCATGCTGCTGCCAGGTCCAGAGTCTCTCATGGGTCCCTGTACGGCCTCCCATTGCTGCTGTCTCCATCGCCACACTCTGCCATGTGCCACTTTCAGGTCTCCTCACACTGCTGTGTGTGTTCCATTTTTTGTCATAGGGTGCTGGCAGATTACGGGCCTCCCATAGCTGCTGCCAGGCCCCTAATCTGCCATGGGCCCCTGTACCGCCTCCTCATGCTGCTGCCTGCTCATGGGTCCCAGGTCCATTGCTGTGTCTCCATGCACACTCTGCCATGTGCCACTTTCAGGTCTCCTCACACTGCTGGTGTGTTCCATTTTTTGTCATAGGGTGCTGCTGGATTACGGGCCTCCCATAGCTGCTGCCAGGCCCCTAATCTGCCATGGGCCCCTGTACCGCCTCCTCATGCTGCTGCCAGGTCACAGTGTCTCATGGGCCATGTGCCATTGCTGCTGTCTCCATCGCCACACTCTGCCATGTGCCACTTTCAGGTCTCCTCACACTGCTGGTGTGTTCCATTTTTTGTCATAGGGTGCTGGCAGATTACGGGCCTCCCATAGCTGCTGCCAGGCCCCTAATCTGCCATGGGCCCCTGTACCGCCTCCTCATGCTGCTGCCAGGTCCAGAGTGTCTCATGGGTCCCTGTACGGCCTCCCATTGCTGCTGTCTCCATCGCCACACTCTGCCATGTGCCACTTTCAGGTCTCCCTCACACTGCTGGTGTGTTCCATTTTTTGTCATAGGGTGCTGGCAGATTACGGGCCTCCCATAGCTGCTGCCAGGCCCCTAATCTGCCATGGGCCCCTGTACCGCCTCCTCATGCTGCCTCTCATGGGTCCCTGTACGGCCCTCCCCAGGTCCATCGCCACACTCATGCCATGTGCCACTTTCAGGTCTCCTCCTCACACTGCTGGTGTGTTCCATTTTTTGTCATAGGGTGCTGGCAGATTACGGGCCTCCCATAGCTGCTGCCAGGCCCCTAATCTGCCATGGGCCCCTATACCGCCTCCTCATGCTGCTGCCAGGTCCAGAGTCTCTCATGGGTCCCTGTACGGCCTCCCATTGCTGCTGTCTCCATCGCCACACTCTGCCATGTGCCACTTTCAGGTCTCCTCACACTGCTGGTGTGTGTTCCATTTTTTGTCATAGGGTGCTGGCAGATTACGGGCCTCCCCCATAGCTGCTGCCAGGCCCCTAATCACTCTGCCATGGCCCCCTATACCGCCTCCTCATGCTGCTGCAGTCCAGCAGGTCCAGAGTCTCTCATGGGTCCCTGTACGGCCTCCCATTGCTGCTGTCTCCATCGCCACACTCTGCCATGTGCCACTTTCAGGTCTCCTCACACTGCTGGTGTGTTCCATTTTTTGTCATAGGGTGCTGGCAGATTACGGGCCTCCCATAGCTGCTGCCAGGCCCCTAATCTGCCATGGGCCCCTATACCGCCTCCTCATGCTGCTGCCAAGTCCAGAGTCTCTCATGGGTCCCTGTACGGCCTCCCATTGCTGCTGTCTCCATCGCCACACTCTGCCATGTGCCACTTTCAGGTCTCCTCACACTGCTGGTGTGTTCCATTTTTTGTCATAGGGTGCTGGCAGATTACGGGCCTCCCATAGCTGCTGCCAGGCCCCTAATCTGCCATGGGCCCCTGTACCGCCTCCTCATGCTGCTGCCAGGTCCAGAGTGTCTCATGGGTCCCTGTACGGCCTCCCATTGCTGCTGTCTCCATCGCCACACTCTGCCATGTGCCACTTTCAGGTCTCCTCACACTGCTGGTGTGTTCCATTTTTTGTCATAGGGTGCTGGCAGATTACGGGCCTCCCATAGCTGCTGCCAGGCCCCTAATCTGCCATGGGCCCCTGTACCGCCTCCTCATGCTGCTGCCAGGTCCAGAGTCTCTCATGGGTCCCTGTACGGCCTCCCATTGCTGCTGTCTCCATCGCCACACTCTGCCATGTGCCACTTTCAGGTCTCCTCACACTGCTGGTGTGTTCCATTTTTTGTCATAGGGTGCTGGCAGATTACGGGCCTCCCATAGCTGCTGCCAGGCCCCTAATCTGCCATGGGCCCCTGTACCGCCTCCTCATGCTGCTGCCAGGTCCAGAGTGTCTCATGGGTCCCTGTACGGCCTCCCATTGCTGCTGTCTCCATCGCCACACTCTGCCATGTGTACACTTTCAGGTCTCCTCACACTGCTGGTGTGTTCCATTTTTTGTCATAGGGTGCTGGCAGATTACGGGCCTCCCATAGCTGCTGCCAGGCCCCTAATCTGCCATGGGCCCCTGTACCGCCTCCTCATGCTGCTGCCAGGTCCAGAGTCTCCAGGTCCCACGGCCTCCCATTGCTGCTGTCTCCATCACACTCTGCCATGTGCCACTTTCAGGTCCTCCTCACACTGCTGGTGTGTTCCATTTTTTGTCATAGGGTGCTGGCAGATTACGGGCCTCCCATAGCTGCTGCCAGGCCCCTAATCTGCCATGGGCCCCTATACCGCCTCCTCATGCTGCTGCCAGGTCCAGAGTCTCTCATGGGTCCCTGTACGGCCTCCCATTGCTGCTGTCTCCATCGCCACACTCTGCCATGTGCCACTTTCAGGTCTCCTCACACTGCTGGTGTGTTCCATTTTTTGTCATAGGGTGCTGGCAGATTACGGGCCTCCCATAGCTGCTGCCAGGCCCCTAATCTGCCATGGGCCCCCCTATACCGCCTCCTCATGCTGCTGCCAGGTCCAGAGTCTCTCATGGGTCCCTGTACGGCCTCCCATTGCTGCTGTCTCCATCGCCACACTCTGCCATGTGCCACTTTCAGGTCTCCTCACACTGCTCCATTTTTTGTCATAGGGTGCTGGCAGATTACGGGCCTCCCATAGCTGCTGCCAGGCCCCTAATCTGCCATGGGCCCCTTACGGGCCTCCTCATAGCTGCTGCCAGGCCCCAAGTCTCTCATGGGCCCCTGTACGGCCTCCCATTGCTGCTGTCTCCATCGCCACACTCTGCCATGTGCCACTTTCAGGTCTCCTCACACTGCTGGTGTGTTCCATTTTTTGTCATAGGGTGCTGGCAGATTACGGGCCTCCCATTGCTGCTGCCAGGCCCGTAATCTGCCATGGGCCCCCGTACCGACTCCTCATGCTGTGACGTTGCAACAAGGTGGAATTCAACCCTACATATGTTAGACCGCCTTTACGAACAGCGAAAGGCCATCACAGATTTCCTGATGTTAAAAGCGGATAAAGGTACTCCCTGTGTAACTTAGATGTCAGCCATTGGCAGCTCATGCGTGACACCTGCGCTTGCTCAGGCCCTTTGAGGAGGCCACGCTATTCGTGAGTCGGCAGGACTATGGGATGAACGACGTCATTCCTCTGTTGCACGTCCTGGAACAAATGCTGTTAACAATGGCTGGTCAGGGTGCGGTAGACGTGGCGCACAGATCTCAACGCCACATGACCCCTGTGGGGGCAGGACAGGAAGAAGAGGAGGAGGTAGAGGAGGACATTGGTGCTCAGGAATTATTGAGTGAAATGGGTGGTTTTTCCACTCAGCGGACAGGAGTGGAGGAGCAGGAGCATCTGGTAGAGGAGGAGGAGGAGGAGACAGAGGACCCAGACGCACCGTGGCAGTATGCTGTGGAGATGGAGGCAGGGAGTCCCTCGCATTCCTTGGCACAAATGGCCCATAGCATCTCGCTTGCTTGCGTAGCGACAGCCGAATAATAACCATCAGACAGAGGGATGACTTTTGGCTGTCCACCTTGTTGGGACCCTCGCTACCGTTCAAAAATGGTGGCCTTTTTCACACCTGCTGAGAGGGAGGCCAAAATAACGTACTATAAAAACCACCTATGTAGTCAGCTGGTCTCTGCCTTTCTGCGCCAACGTCCATCCTCAGACACTGTGGGCCCTGTGCGCTCGCGTTCCGCTGCCATGGCAGCAGGGGGGGGTGGGGTGGTAGGAGCAGTGGCAGCTCCACCAGCAGCAGCTGCCTCAGTCTGCAGTCGATGATGAGTAGCTTTCTTCACCAGCGCAGTGAGGAAACTACTAACCAGACCGCAGCAGCAGCAGCATCAGGTGGACCTGGAGCAGGACCTCAAACAACAGGCTTAGGCCTACTTGGACAGCACCCTGCCAACCGAGGTAGACAATCCCCTTGACTACTGGGCAACGAAACTTGACCTTTGGCCCCAACTAGCTGAATTTGCCCTTGAAAGGCTGTCATGCCCGGCCAGTAGCGTGGCATCGGAGCGCGTGTTTAGTGCGGCAGGAGGTATTGTAACTCCGCGGAGGACACGACTGTCCACCCCAAAGTGTGGAGAGACTCACGTTTGTGAAAATGAATCAGGCGTGGATTAGCCCCTGGATTTCAAACCACCAGTTCCTGACACAACTGACTAAATCCGCCATGAATCATGCCCCAAACATGTGCCACTTTCAGGTCTCCTCACACTGCAGGTCTCCTCACACTGCTGTGTGTTCCATTTTTTGTCATAGGGTGCTGGCAGATTACGGGCCTCCCATAGCTGCTGCCAGGCCCCTAATCTGCCATGCTGCCAAGTCCCCCTGTACCGCCTCCTCATGCTGCTGCCAGGTCCACAGTGTCTCATGCCATGCGCCACTTTCAGGTCTCCTCACACTGCTGGTGTGTTCCATTTTTGTCATAGGGTGCTGGCAGATTACGGGCCTCCCATAGCTGCTGCCCAGGCCCCTAATCTGCCATGGGCCCCTGTACCGCCTCCTCATGCATGCTGCTGCCAGGTCCACAGTGTCTCCCATGCCATGTGCCACTTTCAGGTCTCCTCACACTGCTGGTGTGTTCCATTTTTTGTCATAGGGTGCTGGCAGATTACGGGCCTCCCATGCTGCTGCCAGGCCCCTAATCTGCCATGGGCCCCTGTACCGCCTCCTCATGCTGCTGCCAGGTCCACAGTGTCTCATGCCATGTGCCACTTTCAGGTCTCCTCACACTGCTGGTGTGTTCAATTTTTTGTCATAGGGTGCTGGCAGATTACGGGCCTCCCATAGCTGCTGCCAGGCCCCTAATCTGCCATGGGCCCCTGTACCGCCTCCTCATGCTGCTGCCAGGTCCACAGTGTCTCATGCCATGTGCCACTTTCAGGTCTTCTCACACTGCTGGTGTGTTCCATTTTTTGTCCATTTTTTGTCATAGGGTGCTGGCAGATTACGGGCCTCCCATAGCTGCTGCCAGGCCCCTAATCTGCCATGGGCCCCTGTACCGCCTCCTCATGCTGCTGCCAGGTCCAGAGTCTCTCATGGGTCCCTGTACGGCATCCCATTGCTGCTGTCTCCATCATGCCACACTCTGCCATGTGCCACTTTCAGGTCTCCACACTGCACACACTGCTGGTGTGCAGTTCCCATTTTGTCTCCAGGCCCCTAATCTGCCATGGGCCCCTGGGCCTCCTCATGCTGCAGATTCATGGGGTTTGGCCTCCCATTGCTGCTGTGCTGCCACTTTCCTCCTCACACTGCTGGTGTGTTCCAATGGCAGATTACGGTGCCTCCCATGGCTGCCCCCTAATCTGCCATACCCCCCGTACCGACTCCTCATGCTGCTGCCAGGCCCGTAATCTGTCATGGGCCCCTGTTGTCGCTTGTTGGCATATTCCGCTCGTTCAGATGCTCCTTCTCCTGCAGGTCTCCTCTTCACGGATTCCGTCAGCAGTCTTTCTTGGAATCCGTTTCCAAGAGACAACAGTTTGCGAGCACGCACCCGACGGTGCAGAAGCTGAACGTCCTCCTGTCCAAGTTGCTGCTGCCAGGCTCGTAATCTGTCATGCGCCCCTCCATGTACCGCCTCCTCATGCTGCTGCCAGGTCCAGAGTGTTGTCATGGGCCCCCGTACCGACTCCTCATGCTGCTGCCAGGCCCGTAATCTGTCATGGGCCCCTGTACCGCCTCCTCATGCTTCTGCCAGGTCCAGAGTGTGTCATGGGTCCCTGTACGGCCTCCCATTGCTGCTGCCAGGCCCGTAATCTGCCATGGGCCCCCGTACCAACTGTCAGGCCTCCTCATGCTGCTGCCAGGCCCGTAATCTGTCATGGGCCCCTGTACCGCCTCCTCAATTCTCATGCTGCTGCCAGGTCCAGAGTGAGTGTGTCATGGGTCCCTGTACGGCCTCCCATTGCTGCTGTCTCCATCGCCACACTCTGCCATGTGCCACTTTCAGGTCTCCTCACACTGCTGGTGGTTTCCATTTTTGTCATAGGGTGCTGTATGGCCTCCCATTGCTGCTGCCTCCACCGCCACACTGTGGCTCCACACTCTGGTTTTGGCCCCGTGACTGCCCAAATGAGTGAAGTGTGCGGTGATTCTAAGATCGACGGCACTCATCTGCATGTCATACTGACTGTCAGTATTATTTCTCTTCCCCAGCAGACTCCAAGGGCATTTAAATTAAAGGTACAGTGTTCTGCACTAATATAAAGGCTCTCTGAAGCCTAGAAACACCCTTTTATAAGTTAAATTCGCAGCAAATATATTCGACTCGAATCGAAATTTTTCCACGAATTCGCCGAATCAGTCGAATCGAATTTTTGAATACTTCGCTCTCTCTAGTTATATCATATTACATGATGTATTGTAGTTGCAAAAATAAAAGTAAAGTATGAAAATGCAGTGCTACTATTCTAGTAAGCTTTCATATATTTCTCATGGGTTTTGAGATTGCAAATGAACAGGTTATATTTGTATTTAAATATAATAAACCTAAAATATGTAAAGAGCATGACGTCATCACTACTTAGTAAGGTTATACTGGCACTGAACTTGAATAGAGGATTTCTGAGTTTATCTATAAAGTCTCCACAAAAAAAAAAATGTAACAATCTACTAAGATTAACCATATCAGAAATCAATTTCTTGCAAGAATGATATAATGTCACCTAACCAGACTTACTATATGTCTCTCTTTTCCTGTATCAGATAGTCTTCCATTCTGTTTAAATCTAAAAAGCCGTTTTTGATTTTTAATCCTTTCCCTCCGCTTGCAGTACTGTCCAAAAATGCTGGACTGCAGCCTGCCAAACATAAAGAGCAACCCTGGAAGGCGGTAGATGACATTAGGGATTGATATTCCTGGCTATCTGTAATTTACACCCCTATCTACTCATGTCCGCCTCCTCCCACGCTTTTTAATCTCTCAGGAAAGTAGAAACACTTTGTCACTGAAGTGAGAGAGGTTACAACTCCCGCTGGCTATCCATCACTCTGTTATTCCTAGGCTGAAACCTACATCTTATCACACACACAAAAACTGTGCTGTCACTGCATAGAGAGCATCCCTTCTTTACTGATCTGTGTACCTATTCATCTGCCAAACACACCTATATACCAGCACAAATCTATTCCACAATTCGAAACTGACATCATCCTATACTTAGAACTGTACATTGGTATCTTTCTATACACAGCCCGCTACTGTCCATCGCACAGTAAATCAAAATCTCAAAAAGTGACGAACGTACAACTTTTCAATACACCTATGGTTTATTATTCTATTTGATTTTCTACTATACTAGGCCTTGAAAATATATTTGTCAGAAAACCAACCAATTTTCAGCCTGCTTTTCTGCTTACATTTGAATTCGTTTATATCAGGGGTAGGCAACCTTAAAGAGGTGGAGATCTACCTGAACAACATGGGAGAAGTCAAAGATCACCGGGCACAGTGGTGCCTCATCACAGCTGCTTTTAAACCATACTTGCCAACTGTCACAGATTGCCCGGGACAGTCCTGATTTTTTGGATTATGTCCCGCCATTGTTCAGTCCCAGCCTGTGTCCCGGAATCTGGGATCAGGGCTGAGGGTGGAGACAGCTGCAGATAGGACTCCCTACAACTCATGAAACCTAGAGCAATTAAAAAAATGAAAAAAACTTTCCCTGGCTCCATTTATTTAGCTGCAGAAAACGGACTATTGTTCCATTTTCAGGTGTGGAGGAGTAATCTTCATGCAGCTAAACCTAAAATATCCTCCTATGCTCAACTATGAAATTACCTAATAAATAGCCAGCTGCTATCACCTATTCCCTATACGTCAGGATGTGTAAATTATAACAAAAAATGGTGAAGCGCTATGCAAATGCAACAAATCAGTGTACAGTTGCAAGAAAAAGTATGTGAACCCCTTGGGATTACGTGGAGTTTTGCATGAATTGGGCATAAAATGTGCTCTGAACGTCATCTAAGTCACAACAATAGAAGAACACAGTCTGCTGAACATAATACTACACAAACATTAGATGTTGCCATGGTTTAATTGCACATAACATGTAAACATTCACAGTGCAGGGAATAAAAAGTATGTGAACCTTTGGACTTAATAACTGGTTGACCCTCCTTTGGCAGCAATAACCTCAACCAAACGTTTCCTGTAGTTGCAGATCAGACCTGCACAACGATCTGGAGTAATTTTGGACCACTCCTCTTCACAAAACTGTTTCAGTGTAGCAATATTCTTGGGATGTCTGGTGTGAATCGCTCTCTTAAGGTCATGCCACTCCAGAAAGCGTATTCTGTGCTGTTGCAGCATTGTTTTTTAAATCTTTGGGTTGAGGTCGTACGATGGTTTTCCTGCAAAATGTCTTGATAAACTCTGGAATTCATTTTCCCATCAATGACAACAATCTGTCCAGGCCCTGAGGCAGCAAAGCAGCCCCAAACCATGATGCTCCCTCCGCCATGTTTTACAGTGGGGATGAGGTTTTGATGTTGGTGTGCTGTGCCTTTTTTTTTCCACACATAGTGTTGTGTGTTCTTCCCAAACAACTCAATCTTGGTTTCATCTGTCCACAGTATATTTTGCCAGTAGTGCTGTGGAACATCCAGGGGCTCTTTTGCAAACTTCAAACGTGCTGCAATATTCTTTTTGGACAGCAATGGCTTCCTCCGTGGTGTCCTCCCATGTACTCCATTCTTGTTTAATGTTTTCCTTATTGTAGATGTGTCAACAAAAATATTAGCATGTGCCAAAGATTTCTGTAGGTCTTTAGCTGACACTCTGGGATTCTTCTTTACCTCATGCAGCATTCTGTGCTGTGCTCTTGCAGTCATTTTTACAGGACGCCCATGCCTAGGGAGAGTAGCAACAGTGCTAAACTTTCTCCATTTGTAGACAGTCTGTCTTACCGTTGACACATGAACATCAAGGCTTTTGGAGATACTTTTGTAACCCTTTCCAGCTTCATGCAAGTCAACAATTCTTGATGGTAGGTCTTCTGAGAGCTCTTTTCTGCGAGGCACAGTTCACATCAGACAGTGCTTCTTGAAACCAGTAAACCCAAAACAGGTGTGTGTTTTTTAAGGGCAGGACAGCTGTCAGCAACACATCCAATATCATCACATTGATTGGAGTCAAGGTTGGCTCACTCCTGGCTCCAATTAGCTCTGGGAGAAGTCATTAAGCTAGGGCCTCACATACTTTTTCCTCCCTGCACTGTGAATGTTTACATATTATGTGCAATTAAACCATGGCAACATCTAATGTTTGTGTAGTATTATGTTCAGCAGACTGTGTTCTTCTATTGTTGTGACTTAGATGACGTTCAGAGCACATTTTATGCCCAATTCATGCAAAACTCCACGTAATCCCAAGGGGTTCACATACTTTTTTTTGCAACTGTATATACACACAAATATAGGTGAATAAATATACATTAATAAGCAAAACTTAAACGTGAGACTCCAATCTTTTAAATAATATAGAGTGACATGTGCTTAAAACATCAACACACTGTGCAAAAAACAAGTGCCTGGTCTGCCAAAAAAAATATAAACACACCACGTTAAATGAAATATATACCCAAAATAGATATATATAAATAATATTAACGTGAGACTCCAATCCTTGAAATAATACAAAGTGACCCATGCTTAAAAACAGCAACACACTGTATAAAAAATGCCTGGTCTGTGAAACAATATGTATACACACCAGGTAGAGTGAAATATATACCAAAAATTAGATATCCATTATTAATATATCAAGTGATAGGTGCAACAATACAAATAGAAAAAAAAATAAATAAACGACAATTGAACAAAATCGTTCAGTGTAAACATAGATAGTGACCAGTCCAACAAAAAGTGCTTCAATCTTCAGTGTACACTATAAGTGCTCTCAGTGACACTCTTTGTGACTTATCCCACAGTGGCTAAAGTGCCTCCTCACCTCCTAACATTGACCCTTAAGGGCCACAACACCTTGGGTAATCCTCAAACCAGATGGCTTCCCACACTATGACTCCATTGACTCCAATCGTCTCTCTTTACCCCTGTCATACATGCCAGAGCCTATTGTGTGAAAGGGATATTTGATGCGCTGAGTTATAATTGGAGCCCGATTGGAGTCAGTGAAGCCATAGTGTGGGAAGCCGTCTGGTTTGAGGATTACCCAAGGTGTTGTGGCCCTTAAGGGATCAATGTTAGGAGGTGAGGAGGCACTTTAGCCACTGTGGGATATGTCACAAAGAGTGTCACTGAGAGCACTTATAGTGTACACTAAAGATTGAAGCACGTTTTGTTGGATTGGTC